CCGCTGCCATCGAAGTAGCGCCGACCACAGAGGATGGCTCCGTCTGTCATGTTCAGCCACAGGTTCTCCTTCATGTCACACTTGCTGCACTTCCAGCCACTGTTGATGAGTAACAGAGAAAAAGAGATCAGAAGGAAAACCTATGGGTTCTACCTCCCAAGCCCTCAGCATTGCTGCCCACTGCAATATCCACAGTATGAGTGATCTCATTCCTCTTTTACTACAGAACACTGAGAATCCTGACACACCTTAGTGTGCCACCTCCCCTGAATCTACTGTGACAAGGCACACTCGTACACTCACAAAAGTCTCATCTTCTGTAGCCCAGCACAGAAGGATGGGACAAGGGACACAGGGGACAGAGAAAGGATGGGACACAGAGTGACACAGCAAGTTCCAGTACTGTGCTCACCACGGTGGGATGCGGACATCGTTCTGAAGCTGGTGCAGGGAAAAAGCGTGTTTGGAAACGCGTCGAACCTCCCCATCCCAAGCCTGCACCTCCTGCTTCCGTGAGGCTGAATCTGCTGTCAGGATGGCCTCAATCGCACTGGCAATCTGGAATTAGGACAGCAGGAGAAAACATGAGGGGCTGGCCAACCATGATAACGGCACAAGAAGCTTCCAGTGCCACAACACTCCACATTTAGGCAAGTCAGTTGAGACTTTCGGGAGCCTCAGCCACACACAAGCCAGGACTCTGTAATACACAGCATAAATGCGGAATGATCCTAATGACTGCCAGCTGAGACTTCACAGCAGCTCTGCAGGATCCCTTTTACAGGGCAGTTTCCTTCTCTGTAATGCTACATTTCCTCAACAGTAAGCACAGCCCTTCACCCAAACATACCCTGTCTTTGACCATGTCTGGTAGTCCCTCCAGCCCATCACGTGGAATATCCAAATGGTCTGGCAAAATGACGATTTTTACATCTTCATCATATTCAAACTTTTCTTCTGTGATGTCAAATCCACCTTCTACACCTACAAGAAGAAAAAACATTGTGGTAACAGGTGAAACCAAAGAGCTTGAAAAGCTTCTTCCCCCACAGCTAACATGAAATAAGGCACCATGACTAAGACAAAGATCTAAATCAGTAATCCACAATCTTTCTTCCACTTCTGGTTCCCAGAGCCCCTGCTGGTGGTATGGACTTCACAGGAACAATTATAAGCCTAATGACAGTAGTTTTCTTTTTCCCAGCTCTTTTTACAGATGCTTAAAAACAATCTCCAGACTCTGGCTACAACCAAGAAGAAAACCAAACCTCCTCTACAGAGGAATTGGCCAGAACAGAGCCAAGATAAAGCACTGGTGTTCATCCTTAACCAGAATACACAAGACAATGAATGGAGATGTGCATGAAGAGATCATCTTGTAAGCCAAGGCAAAGGTCAGGTCTACCAGCATCTTTAAGAAGCCTGCCTCTCTTTCTTGCCTTTTCCAGAAAGGATAATCTAGAGTCCTGCACCCAAGCGAGAAGAATGAGGAGCTCCTCTGGAACCAGAACATCCAAAATTGCAGAAAAAGTGAGCAAAGGTATAGTGAATAGTAGTTTCTATGCCCACCTAGCTGTGCTTTCCAGAGATTGCACCAGAAACTGGAGATCCATACATAAAAGGTTACTTGCCAGTTGTAAAGAGTCATAATAGATGCTCATCAAAACATCTGCAGTTTCTGCAGATTCCCTCACCTATAGTTTTCGGATTACGTAGGTACTCAGAGGAAATGCTTGGCTTTCTCTGTTCTGCAGGTATTCACATCCTACATCCCAAAAGGAAACAGGCAGAAGACACATGGCTAATAAGCAGCCTAAACCCCATGTTTTTAACCTGAATTTCCTTTATTTCCAGAAAAATTGCATGCTGTGACTGTAATAATCTCTGCAACAAATATCTGAACCTCCGCAGTTGCAACAAATCCCTGAAGGGAATGAAAGCTTTTGCTGCTCAGTCCCTCTGCCTCAAGAATCCTGTGTGCAACATAGTTCTGATAACCACTCTGTATTTCCTTAAAACATTCTTGTCAAAAATATCCAGTCCTGCAACTCCCTCCTTAGATACCTACAATTTTTACACTACACGCAAACTGCTGTGTATGAACATAATGATTTTAGAAAACAGTCACCAGCATCTTGCAACAAGATACCTAGATAAGATACACCCTCTTCTGTGCCTCTTCAGCACAGCACAGAGATTTCCTGTCACCACTTCATAGAGTAAAGCAATACACACTCCCCCAGGGCATTACAAAATTCCTGAACCCTAAACAAAATAAACCAGACTGGTGAAGTCTCCCCAGGTGGTTACATGAACCTTGAGGCTCCAGATGAGGAAGAGGGTCAGCAGCCACCAGCCTGCCCTGAGGTACACTGCCTCCCTTTCCAGGTGGTACATAAGCAATTCACACCACAAAAATCCATCAGCCAACATGCAGGCATAGGAGGCAAGCACTGTAGATTTCTTGTCATTGAGAGGGGGAAAGTAAGGTAGAGAGAGATCTAGGGCTACATTTTATTCACAAATCATTCTAGTACTTAAAAAAATTTCCCATGTCAGGATTAACTAAACCACCACAGTTCAGCTAAAACAAAGATAAAAAAGAACACTTCTCCTGAACTTGAGACCATTGTCTCACAGGGCTACTACTTTATTTTATTCTCTCCTGTTCCGTTCACACCACTAATCTCCTATCACAAGCAGATATTTGCTGATCCACTGACAACACCTATTGCATGACCTTTGTAGAATTCAGGATGCATAACTCATAAGAGTTCATGAGAAATAACTCATAATGCAGACTGGGCCTCATCTTTCCCAAAGCAGCATAATCATATATATACATGAAAGCACTGGCTATCTGAAGAAACAGAGATTCCAGCCTCAATTTTGCTTGAAGTGATCTTTGGGGCTCTACTCAGCTCACCAACAAAACAGGGAGCAGCTGACAGTTTTAATAGTGGTGTTTGTGCTCTGGCAGCAGACGAGTCACTGGGCGTCTACACCAGGGAAAAAGTGAGCCAAAATCAAGACATTCACCGTCCAGATTCTGGATTTCCCTCTAGTGGTCAGCTTGCAGCAAGCCAAGAACCTGTTACTGCTACAAATGTTCCTGTCCCTTCCTTTATGTGTCTCCATAATGGCTCAGAAATTACCAGCTGAGACTGCTCCAAATAAGCAGCATCTCCATTGATTGCCATGACAGCCCTCTCAGTCAGTGAAAGACAGTAATGGAACACCGGCCTCGTTCTTTCAAAAAAGGAAGATTAAAAATTTGTTTATGTTTTAGTGCTCATATGTATGTCCTCCAGTATGAGCCTTATAATACCTAGTGAGACAAAAATGTTCATGCAGCATTTCCCATGAATGTCTTCCCCATCTGTATCAATAATGCTAGTTCAGTATCAGAGGAGTTTAAAAAATAGTTTATCTGCCAGGAGCTTCAAACTTACTTTTCTCAAACATACATTTTCTCAAACTTAATTCAGCCCCATGCTGGGTACATTGTGTTTAAGCAACAGTGCCAGTCTGGTGATCTCCACACCAAGCTGAGCCAGGCATGCAGGGGCCATGGTAGAGGATAAAATCATATTTACCCAGGGAAAACAAGATGCAACTTTGGACACAAAACACAACTACCACTTTAATGAGTGCTCCACAGAAACTGCTCACCCGAGACACACTGGAAAACATGAAGTCTGAATTTGGCTAGGGATACTAGCCAAGAAGAGTAAAGCAGAAGAGGCAAATCAGGCAGCTCCAGAGGACTGGATGAACACAAGGACCATACAGTACATAAGTGCTTCCTTACCAATAGCCAAGCGAGTTGGTTTCTTCCTTGGGGGGTCCCCAGCACTGGAGTTGGCGTCTTCTTCCTTCTGTGGCATTGAGAAGAAATAGGGAAATAAGAGATAAGGGGACAGGCACGCTGTGGCAAGCCTTAGGGATTGAAATCAAGCTACTCTGAGAACAGAAGGAAACCAGACAGAAATAATGTGGGCAATCTATACAAAAACAGAACTGAAGCAGGTGTGTCCCTCAATTCACCAGGAAAAACAACAGTTGTATCTCAGAAAACTCTGTATCTGATGGAATACACAGACACAGCCCAGCTCTCGATTTCAGAACAAGTTTGAGAGTACGTATTTTTATTTTTTACCGGTTTACGTGTTCTTTTGAGGTGCAGGTAGACCCGCTGGCCTGTTTTCTGATAGTGCTTTTCCACATACTGCTTCCCAAAGCCCAGGAACGTGTTCATGCAGATATACAAGCCGCCATCTGACTCCTGGAAGGAAGGAAGGAGGGACAAAACTGAAGTGAGGCGGTAAGGAATGCCATTCCAGCTGCTAGGATAGGCATGGCAGACTAGTCATTATTCATTAAGTCATGGCAACAGCTCATTCCAACACAGCAGCCACAAACAGTTAGTAAGAAATAGGATGGCAAGCCCCAGCCTGGCTGTCCCAGAAGAACAGGTACTCCTGTCATGATGATGTATTTAAAAAACTATTTGCGTGTTCATTTAAAGTAGGATGCTACCAAATCAGGAAAGCCTGATTGTGAGTTTCCACAAGAGTTTATCTCGTAAAATGCCCTTAGAACGCACAGTTTACAAGTTCAGAGCATGGTACAATCATTACCAGCAAAACTGTGGCATCCTGTCCAAATGCACGACTCCCAGTGCCATAGGGAATGCTGCCAAGCTACCGTGTGAGGAAGGCTAACAGAACAGAGTTTACCTTCGCTGGTGTGTACAAAAGCCTGCTAGCAGCTTCGAAACGGATACAGAACATGCCCCCCACCATCCCTCCGGCAGCTGGAAAACACCACATTCATTCAGCAGATACCCTTCTCAAACTGAAAGGGCAGGGGACCCAAATGCAGAGACTGGAAAGATGGGAAACCACTAGAAAGCTTTCAGAAGCTGCTAGGACTGAGACAGAGTGGGCAGTGCATGGTCAGGCATCGCTGTGGAGCTCGGGGAGGGAAAGAGGGCCAGGATGCCATATGCTGCTTCCTCGAAGGACCCGTATCTTCCAGCTGCAGCCCATTTCTGCTGGGCTGGGGCTCAGCCCGGACGGGCACCCGCGAATAAGCCCAAGGGGGACCTCGCCCTCCCGCTGCCTTCGTCTCCCCAGGTCCACTTAGGCCGAGCGGGGGTAGCGCAGGAAGCGCAGGGATGCCAGCGGGGTGGAGATGGCTGGAGAAGGGACCACTGCCATCTTAATGACACAGCACCGCCTCGCCCCCCGCCTGCCGGGCCACGCCGCGCGGTGAGGCCGGGGGGGGTGGCTCAGACCCG